GGGCCGCCACCATAGAGGGGCCACCACATGTAACATCCAGATGCGGCCGCGTCGCATCCCTCGTTTTGCCGTCATTTCCGCACTCCCAGACCTGGGCGCTTGCCCGCTGGGACCGCGGGGATGGGTGCTTCCACGGGGATGCAAATGCAAACTTCAGCCAGGGGCTCCAACGCCCAGCAAAACTTCCTGGACAACATATCTCGGCACATATCCAGAAACCCGTGGAACAGCGCCGATTTCGCCTCGGGACGGGGCCCGAGCAAGGTGCCGACATGCATGGCCATCATCTCGGCTGTCTTCTCTCTGCCGGGACGATCGTAACCCAGAGGCTTTCCAGGCCCCGACAGACAGGGCCCTCTTCGCCAAGACCTTGCATGCTATCGGTCGGGGCCCAGCGTGGACATCCGCTCGTTTGCATTCTTGTAAGCCCCACGTCCCAGTAGTGCGCCCGCGATCTGGGCAAAGCGACGAGGATGAGCTTCGCCAGTTCTGGACCTGCTCCAAGTTGGTTTACAGTTCCAAGCCAACAGTGCTGGACTCCGCTCACTTGGTCAGACGCGCATTGCACCGGTACCTATTCTTCTTGTCAGTCACGTGGTGGAGCGCGCTCCTGCCCGCCAAGTTCACCATGCGACTCGTGGAAAAACGCCCGCCCATCTCTGTCCATCCGGCCTCGTGGACCTCCCTGCTCCGGTGAAGCGTAAATATATTGCAGGGCCCAGTGCTAGTGGAGGGCCCTACAACAAAGGTCCAGGAAACACCGCGTTGGATGGGGAGTCGGGGTCATTGATGTTGACTATGAGTTTGCGGGCACCACTACAGGTAGCCTGCTGGGAAAGCAGACCATCAACCAAGGAGAACTGCACGCGGCCATCCAGGCCATGACTCGCGCGCAGGACGAGACCACCCTGGCGTTGGACTCTAACGGTGTATGTCGTGGAGTTTATCGTGGACCCGAGTGGCACCCCCGTTGCATCGATGATTCATGGGCCGATTGTGGGACCGCTTTTCAGGCCCACGGTGGGCATATTGAGTTTCACAAAAGTACGTCCCATCCTACATATGACGATTGGGACAAGTATAATATCCAGCCGCGGGCTGATCTTGCCATTCATTTTGCTGATAAGGCGGCCGATGAAACTGCCTAGAACTGTCAGCTCCCAGATGCAGTCATCGAGCATATTAGCGCAGAAGACGCCGAGATGCGCCTCATCTCTGCCCGTCTTACCACCATCCAGTCTGATTGATATTGCTTGGGGGACTTTAAGCCGCCGCCGCCCCCCCTGAAATCCACAGCTCCCATGCCCCTAAAAGGGGCCACGCCGAGCACGGTCTCGAGGAAACCGTCAATGGACTTCGGTGTCGGATTTGTGTTCGGTGCGCTCTCCTTGGGACGGAAACCCTCTGGATAAAGATAGTTTGCATGGCGAGCCATGCGCAGATTGTCCACCCCTCGCACCTTCCAGACTTGTATGTTTTTCGGGGTATCTCTTTCTGCTCTCGATGCGGGGGAGTTGGACACACGAATGCTGTTACATTAAGATCTCAATGCCAGGCCGCCACCAGTATTGGGCGGCGTGCGCAGGACAGGCTCCTTCAAGGGCAGCTACCCCAGGGGACTGTTTCATTGCCAGCCCCCCCTCGGCGTGTTCATGAGGACTCGGCGACAACTGTCGGGTTTTCCCACGCGAGGATCGGGCGATAGTTTGCCAGCAGGGCCCACGGAGTGCGTGGATCAGCCATTCTAAATTGGCAACACGGCAACACGGAGAAGGAGGAGGAGGAAGGAGGAGGGAGGAGGGAGTGGGAGGAGGGAGGAGAGGAGGACGAGGAGGAGGAGGAGCTCTATGTGCCAGTCTTTGTTGCGACGGCCCGGCAGGCCGCCCCTGGCTCGAATCGCCAGCACAGGAAACCCCAGCCAAGAAGGCTTTCCACCGTAACCGGTGAAACGCCGAGCGCTTACGCTGGCCGGGGACGATCGGAGGAAGGGGGGAACGTATGGACCCCCGATCGCCTACCCATCTCCGATAGGGGCCCACTAGCCCCAACCTGCCCAGGGAGGTGCGGATTTTCTATCCGTCGGCGATGTATCGGCGATGTATCTCCGATTCCAGGCCGATCCATCGGCGATGTATCGCCGATTCCAGGCCGATGCTTCCCCCCCTATGCCAGTCCCCCCCTATCGTTGCCCCTCAGCTGGGGCTGCCGCAGAGTTCTGAATGATTGGCATCTCGTCGGTGGCGTGGCCAGAGGCGGCCAGCGAGGCGTGTTCACTGCAAGCCTGAACAGTACTACGGGGTGCTCTCCAGATCCGGGCGCATAACCGCCCCAGGCGTGTGTGTTACTTGGGTGGGTGTGCCTCCCTGGCGGTCATGTGCGGGCTCTTTTCTCTTTGGCCGTTGCCAGTAGCGGCGCAACCTCGTCAGGGCAGATCTTCATTGAAGCGGATGTCTTCGGGCCCTGGATGTTGGGGGAAGTACCGGATGGTAAGTCCACAAAAACACCATTTGCACTGACACGTGCACAGATGGGCGCCGACCCCACGTACCTGAGGGGAGGGCCGCGGGCCCTCATGGGGGGAAGGCAAGTGAGGGCGGGATGGTGGACGAGGAGAATGAGGGAGGCATGGAGGGAGGAGCATGCGGGGAGAGGAGAAGGATGGGGAGAGGCGGCCCACTCCCTTCTCCCTCCTCGTCCTTCTCCGCTGCCCTCGTCCCCCGCTCCCGCCTCCTCCCTTTCCCCCTCCCTCCTCCCGCCTTCTGCTTCTTCTTGTCCTTCTCCTCCTCCTCCTCCTCCTCCTCCTCCTCCTCCTCCTCCTGCCCATGCTCCCTCCTCCATCCTCCCTCCTCCCGAGCTCCTTGCTAAATGTGAGAGGCGCCTTGGGCCTTTGAATGACCCGCAGCGTTCGCCTTGCGAACACATCCGTGGCACCACGGGGCCCTGACCAGGCCATGGACCAGAGGAGGAGGAGGAGGAGGAGGAGGAGGAGGAGGAGGAGGAGGAGGTGGAGGTGGAGATGGATGAGGTGGAGGAGGACCTCCGAACTTCGAGATTCGCAATTGTCTTGCGTTTCTCTATCGTTGGAGACCTCATTGGGCTCATCGTCGCCGCGGCCGCTTTTTCCCTTCGAAATGCGGTCCTGAACTCACCCCTGCAGTGGCACGGGAGACGATCTTTGATGGCAGGAGGAGGAGGAGGAGCAGCAGCAGCAGCTGTAGCAGCAGCAGCAGCAGCATGAACAGGAGGAGGAGGAGGAGGAGGAGGAGGAGGAGGAGGAGGAGGAGCAGGAGAAATATGAGGAGGTGGAGGGAAAGGACGGTGGGGGAAAGCAGTAATCGATGGGGTGGAGAAATGAAGAGGGGAAAGGAGAAATGATGATGATGATGATGACGATGATGATGGTGATGATGATGATGATGATGATGGTGATGGTGATGGTGATGGTGATGATGATGATGATGATGATGATGATGATGATGATGATGATGATGATGATGATGCTGATGCTGATGCTGATGCTGATGCTGATGCTGATGCTGATGCTGATGCGATGATGCTGATGCAGATGCTGATGCTTGAGATGCTGATGATGATGATGACGATGATGCTGATGCTGATGATGATGTGATGATGATGCATGATCATGATGATGATGCTGATGCTGATGCTGATGATGCATGCTGATGATGATGATGATCATGATAATGATCTGATGGTGATGATGATGCTGATGCTGATGCTGATGCTGATGCAATGCTGCTGATGATGATGATGATGATGATGATGATGATGATGATGATGATGATGATGATGATGATGGATGATGAAGGGGGAGGAGGAGGAGGAGGAGGAGGAGGAGGAGGAGGAGGAGGAGGAGGAGGAGAAGGTGGAAGAAGAGGGGGATGGGGGGGGATGAGGAGGAGGAGGAGGAGAAGGAGAAGGAGAAGGGATGTTCATTTGGACGAGGTTTCTCCCGCCCCTGATCGCGGCAGCCCATAACTGCATCCACCGTCGATCTGTCTGGCATTGATGGGCGAGCTGCTGCTGGACGCTTGGGCTCGTTGTAAAGCCCTACTTCTGCCGGGTTTTCTGACAGGGCCCTTGCAATGCCAGTGGCGATGCACCTTGAGAGCCGTTGATGGGGGACTGGTGTCGAATGTGTGTCCAGGATCGTTGCCGCCATTGTCGGAAGAGCCACGCACTGAATGGGAACATGAGCAGTCGAAGAAAAAGCAGGAATAGGAGAAATGTAAGCATTGATAGTAAAGGGCTGTTGTTGCAGACCTTCCCCAGTGCCAATCTTGTCTGGGTTGCTTCGTGGTAGCCCCGAGAGTTTCATTATCTTTGCTTTTCCCCATTATCCGCTCTGCTTTCTCTCTCCCCTTCCCTCCCATCTCTCTACCCTTCTGCATTCTGCAAAACTGTCTCTCGATCGAAAGGAATGGGACGAGTGGGACAAGGACAATTACGAGGAGGAGAAGAAGAGGACAGTGAGGAGAATGGGGGATGAGGAGGAGGGATGGGAGAAGGGATACAAGGCGCACGAATTTGAACAGCAAAGAGGAGGAGGTGGAAGATGAGACTGACGAGGACGAGGTAGGGGATGACGCGAAAGACAGCAAAGAGGAGGGAAAGGAGAAGGAGGAGGAGGAGGAGGAGGACAAGGAGGCCGACGACGACGAAGACGACAACGGCGATGACCTCCGAGGGTCTAGAGACCTCCGGAAGCCTGCCAAGGTCCCAAACTGCGAAAACGCCGATGTCGACGTAGACATCGGCGCCCACGACGACGACGACGACGACGACGACGACGACGAAGTCCTCCGAAGCTCCGGAGGCCTGACGAGGTCTCCCCGAAGGAGGTCCTCGGAAGTCCTTGGCGGCCCCCCAGGGCCGCCGAGGGTCCCCGAGGGGCCGCCGACTGCCGCGCCGCCGAGGGCCCCCGAGGGCGTCCGGCCGCCGAGGGCCGCTCGCCGAGGGCCTGCGGCGGCGGCGGGGAGGCCGCCGCGGAGAAGCTGCGGGCGGCGAAGGCCATCGCCGCCGAGGCCGCCGCCCGGCTCAAGGAGGCGGAGGAGGCCTCGAAGGCCGCGGCGCGGGAGCCTCGCGCCGCGCCGCAGGGGCGGCTATCGGCGGCCCTCGACGGCCCTCGACGTCGTCGACGTCGTCGGCATCGTCGGCAGCGGTGGCGGCGTCGACGTCGTCGGCGGCGGCGCGGGAGCCCCACGCCGCGCCGCTTGTCGCCGTCGTCCTCGTCCTCGTCCCCGTGCTCGTGCTCGTCGTCGTCGTCGTCGTCGTCGTCGTCGTCGTCGTCGTCGTGATCGTCGTCGTGATCGTCGTTCTCATCGTCGTTGGCGTCGTCGTCGTCGTCGTCGTCGTCGTCGTCGTCGTCGTCGTCGTCGTCTTCGTCGTCGTCGTCGTCGTCGTCGTCGTCGTCGTCGTGGGCGGCGGCGGCGGCGGCGGCGGCGGCGGCGGCGCGGGAGTCCCGCGCCGCACCGCAGGGATCGCGGCGCCAGAGGGGGGTGGCGGGGATCATGGCTGGGGCCAGAATATCTCCTCTCCTCCAATGCGTCCCCTCTCTTTACTTCAATGCGTCCCCATGGCCCCCCCTGGGCCGCGCACATGCCTCGGGCAATGATTTGCGCAGCCCCCTCTCGGACACCCCCCTATTGGACCCTCCCGCAGGGGCGGCAGCGACGCGGAGGCCGGCGACCTGGCGGCCGCGGCGGCGTCGTCGTCGTCGGCGGCGACGCGCAAGAGTGACCCCTCACCCGAGTGACCTCGAGTACGGGCCCTCAGGGGTCCCGCCAGCACTGACTGTCGCGCTTGGGTGGCTTGCAGCTGGCCTCCCCCGCGGCCCCCGAAGGCCGCGCACCAAAGGTCACTCCTGCCCAGGGCCACTCTTGCGTGTAGCCGGATCGGCAGCGGCGCGGAGGTCGTCGTCGTCGTCGGCGTCGGCGTCGGCGTCGGCGTCGGCGTCGGCGTTGGCGTTGGCGTTGGCATATTCGTCGCAGGGAGTTGAGGGAGTTGCCAGGCGGGAGGGCCCCTCTCGGGCCTCTATGCGGGCCTCCAGAGGGCTTTCGGGGACCGAAGGGGACCTCTGGGGGACCTTTGGGGTCCTACAGTGACCTCCTCGGACCTCGGGAGACCTTCGGATACCTTCGGAGGACGTCGTCGCCGCCGTCGTCGTTGTCGTCATCTTCGGTGGCTGCTCCTCGATTTCGGCTTCCATGGGCCTGTTTTGAGCCCTGGGGCCGTCAGGAATCGATCCTGGATAGAAGACTGGCCAGGATGGGCCCCAGGAGGGGTGCGGAGACCAGCTTTGAGCGGTTTCGGGTTCGCTCGCCGTCATCGTCGTCGTCGTCGTCAACGTCAACGTCGTCGTCGTCGTCGTCGTGGTGGTGGTTGCCGCCAACGGCAAAGTCGTCGTCCACGTCGACATCGCCGCGGATGCCATCGACGTCGTCGCCGTCCTTTCTCCAGCCGCTGTGAAACAAATAATGATCCAGCAAAGCCCTCTAAGTAGTATGTAGCGGCATGGGGGACCATGAAATGACAAAGCGGTGACTAGTCCTTTGTCGAACGAACCGCTGTACGAGAAACCATATATAGCGATGACGTGGACAATCGAATCACAGAGCCATCGAGCCAGTAAGCTGCTAAGAGTGGTGGGCCATGGGGGAGGATGGAGGATGGCGGCGGACGGGGTGAGGGCGGTTGGGCTTGACAGGGGTAATATTTCTGAGGGGGTGGCAGCGCATAGAAGGGCGTGGTCCCTCTGACGGGTGATTGCGGATAGAAGATGTTGCCAATGATAATGGTGATATTGATGATGATGACGATGATAATGATGATGGTGGTGATGATGCTGCTGATGATGCTGATGATGACGTTGTTGTTGTTGATGATGATGATGATGATGATGATGATGATGATGATGATGATGAGGAGGAGGAGGAGGATGAGGATGAGGATGAGGATGAGGATGAGGATGAGGATGATGATGATGATGCTGATGATGATGATGATGATGATGATGATGATGATGTTGATGATGATGTTGATGATGATGTGATCGTGCGACCAGTGACGATGACGAGTACGATCATTATTAAGGTGAGTGTTGAGATGTATCTGAGTGCGATGCTGAATGGCGAGGCATCAGGCGTCTTCGTGTTATTGATGACCGCCCGAATTTAACAACCGTCTGTGAGAACATTCTCTCGCTCGCGTTTTCTTTGCGATTGATCCAGAAACGAGGCTCCCGTTTGAGACATCTTCAGGTTTCGGACAGCCACCAGGATTCCAGGAGGGCGGATTCCAGGATGCCAGGAAACCCAATGGTTTTACATGGGTTCTAGGGGAGCGGATTCTGAGAAGATTGTGGTAGAATTCTGCGTTGAATAAGTTTGGTTTGGCCATATGCGTTGAGAGGTCAGTTTTATTCATCTTGATCTGTATAGGCACTGTGTTCGAGTGATGTTGGACTGATGTCGGCAGGGCCGCCTAAGAGAAACCCTATTGAGTGAAAACAACTGACGGCGGCGCCCGCCGCAACTCCCCATGGGATATATTCTGGATCTTCTTGTAGTAGGTCACCGCCGGAGGCGCGAAGATCATCGCGCTTCGGCCTGGGTTGGCGAGGCATCCTCCTCCAGGGCGGCGGCGCAGGGGCTCGAAAAGACTCGCGCGTCGCGGGGCGCAAGGGCGCGAAGTTGGGCGACCTGGATAAAGCGAGACGCCAGCAGGCGGACAACAATCGCGACGGGCGCTTCTCGCGGGTCTCGCCTTCGGGGGTTGCGGCGGTCGGGGCACTGGGGCGGAGCGGCCCGCCCTGCACATCGAAAGCGCCCTGCCGGCGCGGCCTCCGCGACGCCCCAAGAGGGCCAGATTGAGCGGGCCAAACCCCCGGAGAGAGCCCCCCCTCCCCGAGAGGGACATCCCCCCCTGGGGGTAACGCTAACGATCGTACTGGGGGGGGGGCGGCCCAGAGCCCCGCCTACATGCCGTTGTGCACGCAGGCGATTGATGTGCCAGAGGCGCGGACGCACCATGGCGGGTGCACACCGCGGCCGCCGGGACCGTTGCCCTCCCGCCCGAGCCGCCCCTCACAGGGGCAACGACCGAAACCGGGAAGAACACAAAACTGTCATTGAACCCCCTTTACAAAATTTGGCCGATCTCGTCCAATGCACACACGTCGCGGGCACGCACGACGCGGGCACGCACGACGACGGCGACGGCGACGACGACGACGACGACGGCGGCCTCTTCCTTCTGCCCTCTCAACGCACTTGGGGGTTCCGTGGGACTCGATGGACCCCTGAGCCCACTCCCCAGGATCGCTCTTGCCCTTCCTGCCTTCTCTGTTTCCTCCATCCTCCCCCCTCCCGCCCTCCCGCCTCGCTCCATCTAACTATTCCTGCCACTCCTGCTTCTTTCGCCTCATCTCCCCATGGCCTGACATTCCTCCCGTTCCTCCTCCTCCTCCTCCTCCTTCGCCTCCTGCTCGTCAGCATTATGCGTCTACCTCTGTGTCAACTTCTCCTGTCACTTCTCCCCCCTTCCCTCTCTTCCTCGTCAACCTCCTCCACGCGACTTCTCCTCTGCCTCCTCGACCTGCTCATCCCGATCGTCTTCCTATTCGGTTTCCCCATCAGCTATCAGCGACGCCAGCGCCTTCGCCCTGCCGGCCGTGGATTTTCCACGGCCGTGGAACCAGCGCACGGCCCCAGACCCTTTTCCTGTGGCCGCCTGGAACTTGCTGGGAGCCCTCCAGAAGCCACACGAACTGCTCACCCGATCCGCGCAGGAGGCGCCGAGGGCTCGCCATAGGCTCCCGAAGAGTGCCCATGACGCCCCAAGATGGTGCCAACATGACTCCAGGACGGTTTGGGGGGTGCTCCGTTCCAGATCGCTCCAAACATCTCCTGAGCTTGCCCGAAAGCTTCAGGGTTCCATCAGAGCCCCCTGAAGGGCCAAAGGGCCAAGACGCGCCGGCACCGATGCGGCCATCAGACGGCCCAAGAGAACCCCAGGACGGCCCCAGAGGCCCGCAACGCAGCAAAATATGCCCCCAAGACGGGCCCAAGAAGAGGATTCCCCAAGCGTGGTCACCAAGGCCCCGCGCTTGCCCCCAATCATGCCGCCAAGGGGCCCCCCAAACGGCATCAAACCTTCCACAGAGGCCCGCAACCCAACTCAGAATGCCTTCAGATCCACGGGGCCCTGCGGGCCCTGCCCACCCCAACATGGCCCCCAAGGCCTTGAACAAGCCCCCGAGAGGCCCTCCAGACGGCCCCACGAATGCCAACAAGGCGTGTCGGGACGACGGGAGAGAGAACCCCGCAGCCACTTCGATGCCCACACGCCAGCGCAGGCACCCTCTCACTGTCTCTGGGGCCTCCCCGTTTCTCTTTCCTGCTTCCTCATCCTGACTCCTCACTGCTATACGTCGCCGCGCCGTTTGTTCCGACGCGCGGCCTTACGTCTGTGGGAGGCCTCGGCCACCAGGGCACACGCCGCCCCGGGCGCAGGACTAGGACTTGCCATGGCTTGCCGCGGTGCCGGCTTCGTCTGCTTGGGCGCGGGACGCAGGGTTTGCCATGGGTTTGCCGTGGCGTCGGCGTCATCTGTTTGGGCGCGACGAGAACAAGCGGCGCGGCGACATATATTCCCACTCTGCCACATAGCCGGCCGATAGCGCCCCAATCCGGGTGGCCCCACCCGATTTGAAAATTAACAGCACAACATTACGATGTTCGTTTTACCATGGACAAAATGGGTGGCTGGAATGAGACGGCACGTACAACCCATGCGAAAGGCCGAAATGTCCATCTCGCCTCCGCGCCGCGCCCATTGTTCTAGAAAGTTGAGCTCCCGCTCGTCGGGCGCGCCGCCCGTTTTTCGCGCGCATTTTCGTCGGCGCGCGAGCGGGCGAAAATGTCGTTCTCGCTTTGGCGCCGCGCACGCTCGAAAGAGGCGTTCTCGCGCCGACGCGGCG